TGCTCACCTTGCTGTGCTGTGTACCAACCAAAGAACGAGGCCATGGCATGATGTAGGGATAGGAAGCCCCATGAATGATACGACCAAGGTTGTTCAGCACCGCTGTTTCCATGCAGACGGATAGTAGCCAGCGAGTTGAATGATGATGCTGCCACCTCCCACAATAAGCAGACAAGTACACAAAGCCACCGATGATCGCCTTGACACTCACTTCAATTCTTTTAACATCATCTCTGAAATCACACCGAACAATCCCAAGGATCTCCTGCAACGGAAGCGACTTGTCCTGCATCCATCTCTCGACACCATTGTCATCATCGGCTCTCCATGTCCAAACAACGAGCGCGGATTTGGAATTCAGTTCTACATTAGGTGCGAAGACCACACAAAGCCTTCCATCCTTGGTCTCGCCGGCCGTCAACATTTCATTAACTCTGCTGCTCGGCGGCATATCCATCCGAAAGAATTGCATCGTAGTGGTGTTGAGCACACGGGCATCTGTTGGCATTCCAACGGTCCAATAGATGCGACCATTCACCAGCTTACCACGCTGAGGCCAGAGCCCGTCGATGTCTGTCCATGGGAAGACCTGCCACTTCTTGGTGTCCGATGATAAGACGTCAGCACGCGCCCCTCGTTCGCCATGCCATACGCACATGACACGGTACGATGACCGGCTGTCTTCTTCTTCGGCGAGAATGTGGTAATCAAAATGCAAGCCCTCACAGTCGTCCCCGTGCGGCGGCAGGGGAAAGAGGTCCATGGTCCGCCTGAGCGGGTTGTAGACGGCCACCTGCCGGGTGCTCCAGTTGTCGAGAACAACGAATCCGTCGCGGCAGGCGCCGATTGACCACTCAAAGACGGCATCCTCGTCGTCTTCATCTTCAGAGACGGAGACAACATCCTCGTCGTCGTCTTCAGAGACGGGGACAGGGATGGAGTCGGCTTCCTCGTCTTCGGGGACAGGGACGGGAACAGAGAAGCCATCGTCTTCGGTGTTGGGGACGGGGACGGAGACGGCCCTTCTTGTCGTCTTCGGGGACGGGGCCGGGGCCGGCATCCTCTTTGTCGTCGTCCTCGGAGACGGGGAGGTGGGTGAGGAAGAAATCGGCGCCGCGGACGGCGGCCGCGGTGTCCGGATCGGAGCGGCGGAGGAGAGGCACGAAGGTAGGACTTACGGTGTCTTGGATGCCGAGAAAGAGGCCCAGGAGCGGGGGTGGGTGGAGCGCGCGGAACTGGCGGCGGAAAGCGTGGGACGAACGGACGGCGTCGAGGAAGGCGCGGCAGCTGAGGGCGGCGCGGACGAGGCTCGGGAGGGAGGGGAGGCGGAGGAAGATCTCGCGCAGGGTGTCGTCGTCGAGGGCGGTTATCGTGGTTGGGTGGAGCTGCGAGGGTTTCTTCGCCGGCGACGGCGGCGGCGACGCCATGGCGCACAGGATTGAGAGTTGAGAAGCGAAAGTGGCGGATGGCAGAAGGGGCAGTGACTATTGGGATCCGACGGCCCAAAACGCCCAAGCTATTGAGTGCTTTGATTTGATGAGGAAGAATACCACGATGATCCTGGTTTGAGACTACGCCCATCCAGTTCTCCATAAAAGATGCTTCTGATGCTTTCCTAGCCATTGGATGGACTAACTAAAAATATAGAGAGAACGAGAGACGCAGATACGTGGATTGATGTCTAGTCCTTGATCCAGCACATTGCAATGTTACGTGGGCAAGGGTAGGAAGTTTGATTCACAAGAACGATGCAGAGGGTGCCATGCAAATCACACTAACCGAAAGGTTTGCACATTGCATGAAGTGGGCCATGCGATCTCCTTCCTAACATATCCCAAGAGGTCTTCATGTTCACCACTTCCTTCGTTCCTAAATGTAAGTCTTTTTAGAGATTTCGCTACAAACTACATACGGATTTATATTGACATATTTTAGAGTGTAGATTCATTCATTTTATTCTGAATGTAGTCCATAGTGCAATCTCTATAAAGATATATTTAAGAACGGAGGGAGTACATTCAGTTTGGTTGGTTATCCGAAGATTAAGTTTTCATGTTCACTACACTCAGTTAGATTGCAGATATCTATCGCCGGCGGTGAAGGAGGTTACATCCTTGCCGGTGGCAGAAAATTCGCACATCGACTAAGCGAGCGCTAGATTATAAGCAGCTCCTTGTTGCAGTGCCAGTGCTGTCGATAGGCACTTTTGGAAGTGCGAACTCCGAAGAATTAATCATCATATCATCAAACACTTCACGATATCAGTCCAATACCAAAAAGCGGGAAATCACAATACCAGAGCTCAATGAAACCATCATTTGACCAATCCAAAATTCAGGCCAACAGGCGAACCAGGCTCGGATTATACTTCCGCAATTTTTGTACCCTGGCATAAGAGAACCAGCGACTACCACATCATGCGCAACTAAATTTTTGACCAAAGCTATGCACAACCAAACATATCAAGTCCAGTCATCAAACATAGAATCTTACATAACTCACAATCTCAAGCCAACATGCTACAAAGAGGAAATAACAATTTACATGGGTCCACAGACACCAAAAGATTAATAAAGTCTACACTTCTGCTGATGGCGAATTATATATCCCGTAATATTATAAGTGCAGTGTGTTATTCTTGGCTTCAGGGATCTAGTACTACCTAGTACCTATAATGCTTTATGAAATTGATATCTAGTAATATCTAGTATCTGAAAATTGCAGTTTATTAAAACTGAAACGGGGTAGGAAGCAGGGGGAAATGCTGAAAGATACAACAGTAGCGTGGGGTAAGGAAAGCGCTACAGCTAATTAATAGTAGCGCGTTTCTGAAAAGCGTTGCTGATATAGTCAATAGTAGTAGCGCGGGTATAGACCGCGCTACTACTAACAGTTAGCTGTAGCGCCGTAGTAGTAGCGCGGCCACTCGCGCTGCTGATAGCCTCAAAACTCATGCTACTACTAGGGTTCTCCCTAGTAGTGAGCATACACCCATCCTCTGCATAGCTATGATGCACATAGCACACACAAAAACACGTCGGCAAAATAGCAAAGTCATACAAGAGTAAAGCTATGCCTAAGTGCGAAAAAGAAAAGAACAAACCAAAACGATCAAATTTGCGATGAAAACCTACAACAATGACCCTATCCGCACCAACTATCTCATGACCCCATAAGGACGATGAGGTTCTTCAACAGCAACACCTTCAGGAAGGGAGAACGCTTAAGCACCAACGTCACCGAATCCAACTACCAAAGATTAGACTCTAGGTTTTCACCCTGAAAACCCAATCTGAGCATACCCGAGCAATGCCTTCAACAAGGTAACGACACAAAGAATATCATCATTGCCAGGTATAACCAACTTGGCTAGACCTAGGTTTTCACCCCCAAAGCTTCAAATCAGGTGCTAGCAACATCATCGAAGTCACTCATGTGTTGTCGCCACCATTTTTTCCTCCATCCGAGCAGCTACATGCAATGTCATCGCTGCACAACTATAACCTTTGCAACAAGCCATCGTACGTAGATTGCATCTCACTGTAGAAGCCAACCACCAGATCTAAAGGAGGAAATCCTCACGAGGACCTTCCAATGGCTATCACAATCTGCAGTTGGGCTGCCACCACAGGACACCACCGCCGACTGCCACCTCGCTGAAGAGAGCCATGCCCAGCACCGTCAGCCAAAGGGCCGACATGGCCCGATTTGGATCTCAAAAGTCATATATGTTCGTCACTTCGTCACAGGGAAGATGACAAGGGGAAACCTCCACCTTTGGTTGCTATTCCGGCCAGATGTGGGCAAGAGGCCTGCATCCATGGCCACCGGTATCGGCCACACTAGCAGCCGCCAGTAGGACGAAAGGAACCGCCCTTGTCAGATAGGCCGT